GTTTCGTGTGAAATCGGGGCCCTTAGAAAGGCTTGTGGAGCCATCCAGGAAATGGGTTTAACGAGCTGGGCGGCGGATACGGGACGCCCACTGGCCAGTCGGGCGGCGGGATTAGCGGCAGGCCGGCGACTTGAGATACTGAAATTAAAAATAAGAATTGCTATGTTTTTGAAGCTATAAAAGGCTGCGAGCTGTGGGCCTCTATCCGCAAACTGCACGATGCTATAGCGTCGTGCGGTTTTAGAGTTTTAAGCCAATCTAGCTCACGGCAGTTGCCCCTACCCGGCGGTCGTATGGGACTTTATGTTAGGATCGATTTGGAAAATACAATGTGGACAACGAAAGGCTATTCATGCCACGGCTTACCTAATTTGAAAGACTCACCAAGCTCCTGCGGTTGGTCGATCATTGCGGAATCTTCGGTAGTTAGTCGAGTACTAACTGGTCTTACTCTGGTAACGGGGGCTTTTATAGAAAGTGATTCTCATGCCTGCAACAATTTTTTGCCGTTTTTACAATGCTTCTGATAGCGATTATTCGCGGCAACAGAATACATCTCTTGCAGGCGAAAACGGGCTATCAAATTTTGCTTTGTGTTGGCGGGGAGCGTGCTTCTTAGAATTTTGCACTTTTTAGAACCTGTCACAATCACATTTTGCTCCTGTTGCTGCCGGATTTCGTGTTTCTGTCAAACTACTTCCAACCTTTTTACGCCCCGCACGCTGAATGTTCCATACTGCCCCGGCAGACACCTGAAAATCACACAAAAACCCAAGGTAATTGATAAGAGATCGCGGGGGCACGAGCGAGAAAATGTTTTGTTTAGAAGCCCCGTTTTATTGCATGAATCAGGCCTCTAAAAATATTTCCTGAAAGCCAAATTTTAGTAAATTGCATAATTGCAGAAGGATGCTTTGCTACGGTAAGTGTTTGATGAACACTTGGTAATTGTTTTTTTTCTCGAAAAAGCAGGCATTTTTCTAGAATAGGGAGGCATATTTCCAAAAAACGCCAAATTTCAGATTTGCTGCCGCTTCCAGAACCGGAACCCTATGGGCCGATCAGCCTGGTTTGGGATACGTTGACCGGAAAACTAAATTGAGCCGGGCTGCCTTCTAAAAATAAATTATTCTTCACCATTCTGCCTCACTCCGGAGACGCCGTACCGTCATAAAACTCATGTTCGATCTTTTTAAAGAACAATGGCACAGTTTTCTCTATTCATATGCGAAATTTGGTTAAGCAGTTGCTTTCAAGCGACACACATAGCACAAACTATACATGTCCTCTATTACTCATGCTGGATTTTTTATTTCTTATCAGGCAGTCCGCCTTGCAGTTCCACGAACGAATGCGGGGTCAGATCTTTATCCTCGCAGCAAGACAACTCGGCTATAACGATGAAGCTAGATATTGACTGTATGGGCCGACGTCATGCTTTAAAATTTTGTAACTATAGAATTACCCAATTCGGGGTTAGCGGGCGGAGCCCGCTAACCCTTTGGTTTGAGATACCCCCCCATACGACTCTTTTGAGGTCTTTTCCCGGATTTAAAAAATAACCACGCATCGGATCGCAAAACTGAATACACCATCGGAACCGGCGACACTTTTTACATACCATAAGCTTTTAAATTTTGAAAAAAAAGTAAAATTTCGAATTTTAACAGCCGATTTAAATTGCGTTTCGAGGGGGGAGGGGGTCTGCGTTTGTATGTGTGTGCGTACGCAAAACCTTTGTAGTCGTCAAAAAGTGCCTTCCCATAGTCCGTTTGAGCTGAAATTTTCCACATATATTGGCTTGATGTAAATGAAGGTGAGGAAGAAGCGTTTTTTTCAAATTAGGCTTTTAAAAAATTTATATTGAATTTTTAAGTTTAATAGCTAAATTGGGGCCAAAACAAGGGTTAATGATGTCCGTTTGGGCTGAAACTTTGCTCAAATATGCATTAGACCTTGCCAAGCAAAGTAAAGAAGAAATTGTATCGAAAGAATGCTTCTCCTTTGAGATATTATAACTTTAAACCGTCGCCATACGGGGCGCCGCCCTCCCCTTCCCAGGCTTCAAGCGTGTTAGCTTTTTCACAGTTCCTTTTCAGAAAAATTTTGGCCCCTAGCTACCGTATGGCTTTTGGAAAAGTTATGTTGCAGGAAAAATTACCTGCCCATTTTTTTTGTTGTAAACCGCAAGGAGCGATAAGAAAACTTTGGTTGCAAAAACTGGGCCCAGACCACGAAGAATACCCCAGGAATTATGTGCCGCAACACGATTGGGGGTATATAGAGGCGCGAACCGTCCGAAGTTTTCGCTGTAGGACTTGTCGCTGCCGTCTACACTATGCTTGGAACGGAACAGGATTTTGGTAAGTCGATCTTAGAATTTTTTTGGTTGATTGAGACTTGGATTTGGCATGGAAATTTTGGTAAAACGTTGAAGTGCCTGCTGGCTTACTTTGAAAAATTCTATAAAGTTGAAGCTGAATATACATTAATTTTTTCAGCGCTGCAACGTGGGCCAGGTGGTTGCATGGAGGATCCCCACAGACCCAAACCCCCGCCAAGCCTTCCCCTACCTACTCCGGGAGACATCATCGTCGATATCATCAAGACGATCTTCAAATAGGCCGGAAGAAGGCACCTGAATTGTGATTTATTGCTACATTGCATTGTCCGAAACGGCAAATAAAATCTTTTGCATGTGGTGTTTGAGGGTGAATCCAAACACCTTCATAATTGCTTTAGTGTACACAACGCAAGTAATGCAACAAAAATTTTTCAAAAAAAAGGAACACGAGTTTTTTCATATGTTAAAAAAACGCAAAACCAACTTAATTGTTTTATTGTCAAACCAGCGTTTAAAAAACCCCTCCGCGGCTTTTCACCCCCTGGCGTCGTCTAGGCATCATGAAAGATGAAACTTGCATAATTCTTCCCGAAGATCGATCACAAAAAATTAATAGCCGTATGCTACCCACATTTGCGGATGCCAATTGCTCCCTAACAAATAGCGTGGCCAAGAATTTTACAAATACATAATTTTTATAACTAAAATAGTTTTTCAAAAGTCGACCCTGTCGGCACTCGTTGTGTATCTTTGCATATAAAAGTATATTTTTATATGCAAAGATACACAATTTCAAGAATTCTATTTTCCACATTTGCGGATGCCAATTGCTCCCTAACAAATAGCGTGGCCAAGAATTTTACAAATACATAATTTTTATAACTAAAATAGTTTTTCAAAAGTCGACCCTGTCGGCACTCGTTAACGGACCATCCTACACCAAAACACCCTTGTTGGCTATCGAAAAGGGATTCCTGAGGCTGCGTTTACGGAATATACAAGTAAGTAAATTTTTATATGCAAAGATACACAATTTCAAGAATTCTATTTTCCACGTGATTTGGCGGTTTTTGTGATAAGCTATTCCCGGTCTGGTTGCTAAAAAATATGTTGCTCTCAAAAATTACCGCAGATTTTGTGTCGCAAGCCACTAACAACGATAAGCCCAGCTTCCAAAAAACATCTCTATGTCAGAAAATTTCGGTCGATGAGTTTTAGCAGCAACAAATTCTAGGATATAAGAAGTGAGAAAAAGCAGCGAGTTGGTGTCGAGTTTTCCATTGAACTCCGCACTACCCAACACACCTTTACACAATGCTAGGAAAGGAGCAGGAGCTCGGTAAGTCCGCCCAACTTGCAAAAAAAGCGTTCAGTTTGGACAAATTATACTCATTACTTCTTTCAGTGTCTCAGTTCCGCGAGGGAGGTTGTACCAAACGTCCTGAAATTTCGATCCCTGATCCGCCGTCTACCCCAGGCGAAATCATCACTGATATCATCAGGATCATATTCAAATAAGCGATACGAATGCATGCTTTTTTTCTCTTTCTGACAAAATAAATGTTTGACTTTAAAGCTTTGAGACCAACACCTGCAAATAAAAAGCATTAAAATACAAAATAAGCAAGCAAAAGAAGGTGTTTATGAAAAGTAGCCTAGAAACGCACACCGAATTTACCTCGGAACACGAGGCGTAAAAAGCAAAAGAATCATCCTGATGCTTGAGCGCCCGGTTGCCAACAAGTGCTACATGATGTCGTTGTCGTTGCCGTTGTCTTGAACTCCAAGGTCGTTGCGGTTTTAGGTGTAGAAGCGGTAGTTATTACATCAACAAGACTTTCAGCCTTAGTCCGGCAATTCCCGCTTGGTCCAAGCCGATCCGCATCGAAATTTCGTTTTAGAATGAAGCCAGTTTGTTGCTCAAGTTCTGATGTCGTCGTCATCTGATTGCAGTCGTTAGTCGCTGAAAAATAAACATAAATGATAAGCCTTCATTCCATGAAAATAACATTAACTTTTATATAACACCAACCTCCACTTAACCCCAAACATGAAGGATTGGTAACGCAAGCTCGAAGACATTCCGTGGTCGGCGAAGCTCGTGAAGTTTTGCATTGGGGTTCAAACAATGAAACAAGCTCGGCGTTGATCTTTGAAAACAGCAAAAACAACCCGAGGAAGTTCATTTCTGAAGCTTCAACCTAACGGGATTTATCCAGGTCGAATTGAGCGTTGTGTCACACATTCTAGCTCTTTTCCCCTCGAATCGAATTCTGCTTTGATTAGACAGGCATCTCATCAAATATATCTCGGAATTGAATATTTGGTTGATGGCCTTTTCCACTTCCTGAACCGGACTGGGTAGATCGATAGTTTTAAGGGTTGCATCCTGCACTTGCTAGGCAATTTCAAATTCTCAAAAACCGATAGCCGTTTTGACTGCGTTTTTGCTAGTGTGCGCGAAGCTCTCTTTAATGCAAAAAGTATGTAAATCTTGACCCCGACAACGGAAATCTTCAACCACATCTGCCCCTGCGGCTACAACAGACGCGTATCAGTGGCCGGAATTGATAGCGACAGGATATAAATTAAGCAAGCGGGTTCCGTTTTTCATTCCTTGAATCAGTCTTGAAAACCACCTTCTACACGAAACCTGATGTCGACTACTATCGTGCCGTCGACCCCTACCACCTCGACGAAGCCCAGGGTAAGTTGATTTTGGGCGTGAATTATCCGGTTTTCTGGATTTTATTTTTACATTTCTGAAAAATTTGGTGAAAATCAAACTAAAACCGGTGGAAATTAGCATATTATTTAACTTAATCGAACACTACCTAAAACGGTATAAATTAAATTGGAAACATTTTACATTTTTTTAAACGGCAGCCATGTAAAACGATTACATATGGATTAATAATAACAAAATAACTTATATATTCGAAAAGCGCAAAAAATATCAATAAAAATAAATATAAACAAATTACATCAATCGAAAATTCATTTTACACGGATGGACAATAAAAAAAATAAAAATAGAAACAAAATCAGTCAAAAATTTGACTAAAACTTGCTAAAACTAAAGTAACAAGGCACTCAACAACAAACTTTTAGATTTCTGTCAAGTCCCGTTGATTTTTTGTAATAAATTAGTTGAATAAAATTCCGCTTCCGTACCAAAGCCAAATTAATCAACATTTAAGGTATTAAAAATAAAATCATAAATATTTTATGCCATTTTTCAGCGCGGCCGTCGCCCTCGTCTTCCGGCCACGCAAGAAGTTCAACAGGCCGAGTTCGTCAAGTACATGGCCACGAAGGAGCACCGCAAGAAGGCCGCCTACAAGACGTCAATGTGCCGAGAATATCGAGCAGGTATGTTTCAATTTTAAGGATTCTTTAAACTTTCTAAAAGCTTCAAACGAGTGTGCCTTTTTTGCACGCGTAAAGCTTTTGAAACCGCTCCAAAATCGATTTTAATTGTTTTATAGGCTACTGCCCGTACGGTGACGCCTGCACGTACGCTCACGGCCTCGATGAGCTGCGCGTTGCCCCGATGATCGGCAAGCCAAAGCACCGGAAGTACAAAACGGCGATGTGCGACAATTTCTCGAACCTGGGCTGGTGCCGCTACGGGCTGAAGTGCCAGTTCCGCCACACCAATGCCGATGGCCAGGAGGCGCTAGTGGTTCCGGAAGGGCCACCGGAGAGGTTGGTTTTATTTATATCTTTTGAAACACGTTAATCTTTTTTCTTTTACTCAAATACTTACTTTCTTTACCCTAAACTTATGAAGTTTTGATAAATTTGCATAATTTATAGATCTAGATTTATCCTACTATATATAAAAAAATAGTGTTTGTGTGTGTGTCTGTGCCACTTTGCATACAACTTCCGTCACCGTGTTCCAATAGTATCTCAAGAAGGGAAGTACTTAGGGGTATGTTCGATACGTCATTAGGTGCGTAATGGTCAGGAGATGACTGCACGCATATGTTATTAACAAAATCACCTATTTTCGCTATTAAATTTCAGTTTTTGTTGCAAAATTGGAGACTCTCTTTGTTAGGAATCAATTAGCATGCGCCGGAAGTGGCGATCGCCTATATAACGGGAAAGAGGAAGTGCTTTTCATTTTTGCTTATCGGAATCCAGGAAAATCATGCAAAGTGGGGATTATTCCAGGGTCAGACGGGGCCAGGGTTGAAAAGTCGCGAAGCGGCTTTTCAACCCTGGTTAGATCTAATTTAATTGTTTTTGATCTTGGTTGCCTATTTAGCGCTCAAAACTACAAAATTCACTCATTGGGAAATTTCTACACGCGCCTTTTACTTACTTTGGTTAATTAATGTCTTAATTTTTACCCTAGTTTTGCATCCGCTTCCTTTAACTTAAGGAATTTTAACGCAAACGCCACTAATTTAATTGCTTTTCTGACTCCGAGATTTATTGAAGACATTTTATTATTGCAATTTACAGCTGGAAATTTAGAATGTTCCGTTTTTTACCACTTACACAGGGATTTGACCTACGTTGTCGCGTTGCGGCCTCCTTTTCCGCGCCCTGACCTAGTTCCTTGAAAATGACGATGCACTAAAGCCTGGATTTTCTGACATCTGCCAGTTTTGAAGTAGGGCCTAGCTATATGCCCTTCAAATGATATGACTGATTACCCCAGGCCCTTTTTCTTACTAACTTTGACCATATTTTCTTATTAACTACGTTATTAACAGCCAAGATCCTGAGTTTTCAGTTGCAGCTCGGGCTCCCAGACATCGAGCAACATTCCCGACGCCCGTCCGGGCGCGATGATTTCGGAATGGCTCGACAATCTGCATATTACGCCGCCATCTACACGCACCTCTTCAGCGGTAAGTTAAAAATTAGAAAAATTTTATAACGTAAAAATACAGCTTCTTTCACTAATTTTACTCACACAAAGTAGTGAATCTGGTTTGGAACCATCGTTTCCAAACAGTAAAAGCAATTTTTTAATTCCAACGCGAACTTTGCAGCGATTGTGAATGAAAAATACTTTTTAACGTTTAATAAGCTGCTTTATAGTCTGCCCAAAGTCTGGAGGCTGATGGTTCCGTCACCCCACCAACCTCTTCGACTCCGAAAGCCGGTCGTCGCGTCCAGTTTGAGCCGCCATTCGATTTCAATGGATTTGAATCTCCTGTGAGGCCTGGGTAAGCTACACGACATTATCTTCTCCTTGATTTTGGCTTATCTTGTAGATTCCAATGAATCTAGAGAAAGTAACAAAATTAGTCCTATAAAAAAACAACAATTTGCAGACAAGTCAACATCGAGCTCCGGCCTCCTGCTGTTAGCAACGCCGAGTGGTTCGCGACGACGCCAAAGAAGGTCCGCATGCAGTGCAGCGAGATGTAAGTATTATCGTAGACTTCAAATAGCGTTTCTTAAAGAATAATTAGTTAGTCTGGACATTCAATAGTCGATGCTAATTCTTGTTTTGCCTAGTTTATATAGGAAAAAAATACCTAAAACGTCTATTAAACCTTGAAAACTTTAAACCTTTAAACCTTTAACTAATGAAGCTTCGACGTTGGCATTTTTTCGTTTTCAGAATTTAGATGAGGCTTACCACTTTCTAAAAGTATAATTGTAGTTTCATCGGCTAGAAAGTATTCATATACTGACTGGGTCGGGCGTGATTAAAATATAAAAAAATACAAATACAACTTAATAGCAATAACGAATTATATTTCAGGCATGCGCTTAAGGCTGACTTCGAAGTCGAAGAAGATGTCGGAGTTATCGGAGATGGGCGCCCACCTACGGCCGGATCAGCCACAGCCCCGACCCCCTGCTCTCCCGACCCTCTCCGCCATGTCGGTCAAAACTTCTCAACTTCCGACCATTACCCTACCGCCGATTTTGCCCACTATCCTTCCCACTACAGTCCCATCTGGCCTCCCAACCTTGTTCACATCCATGTTTCCCCAGGTTCTCCCTACCATCTACGATTTTGCCCCTTTCACTTATGATATGTGCCCGGCTTATCAGTATCCGGTAGCGGGTGCCAATACCATGCTCAACCCCTATGTTACTGCTGATCTCTGGGCCACCCCGTCTGTAGGATTTTAAGGCTTGCTCATGGCAAAAGTCTAACGCGTTTTTAGGATTCCAACGTTCCCTTAAAACCGACTTTCCGGTCATCTGTTTGCTGGGATTATAATTATAAGTTTCCACGTGTCTCAGATCTCGTATTTTTCACGTTGTTTTTACCCTTGGGATTTCAATATGGTCCCGAAAAGCTGCTTTCCAGCAGCCATGTGCCTGAGTTTTCAAAATCTCGTATTGTTCTTGTTGTTTCCGTCTAACCATCTGTACTTTGGACATTTTGAAGTTGCCAAAATTCCTCAGATGTGTCTGTCCTTCCAAGCTATTCTCCAAGTTGGTGCTGTACGTATTCGAATATTGCGAATAATAAAGGTTGTTGAAGCGCAAACAGATTGTAATGGCATGGCATCTTCAGAGGTGAGCCAGAGAGCGAGAGAGCGAGAGAGAGAAAAAAAGAGGGAGAGTGAGACAGAGTGAGAGAGAGTGAAAAGATTAGTCGAAAAGTTTATTATTTCAAAGCTAAAACCGAGTAGGTGATATTGTGAAAATCGAATCATCCAAATCGTCATCTTCCGGAATTGCCGGCAGCTCTTGGTGGAATTCTCGCTGAGAATCTTGGGCAGTTTGGGTCGAATCCAAACGGTCAATTCGGCGAAGGGTCGAGGTGGACATCTATAATTTTTAGATAATGTTGGAAGTACCAGGAATCAAAGTAAACTTTTGAACTTAAGCAGTAAATATATATCTAAAGAGATATGCGTAAACCTACCTTTCTAACCAAGTCCTTCAACTTGTCGAGGTTCGTCTCGGAGCCGGTGATGGCATAAGTTTGCTCCCGACGACTCCGCCAAAAGCGGTTGGCAACATGTTCGAGGAGTAAGACAAGGACACAGCAGCACATTCCTTAAGATCGGTTTAGGAACCGCACCAACAAATTCATAGGCGTATAAAGCCTTTTCAGCATTTTTTTAAATTGAGGGCGTAGACGAACAAGTTTTTCCAAACGTTCTTAGCTAAATAATTTCAGCCAAATAAGAAAAATTAAGCAGATTGCAGATGCATACAAAACTCATGCGCTATTTGTCGGAACCTTGGCTGTTGGGCCTGTTTTAAAAATGCGCAAAAGACGTAACAACTTTAGAGCAGCAGCTAAACTCCTTAAAAAAAGTCGGCTTGCCCTCGAGAGAAGGCCTGATCAAGGGTTTGAGCGTTGTTAATTAATTTCAAGGCACGCCCGTTTGAAGCCGCTCAAAAATACATCACTCACCTGGGGTTCTGTCATTATCTCGAAAATCAACATCTCGAAAGTTCATTATCTCGAAAGTTAAATATTTCGAAAGTTCATTATCTCGAAAGTTAAATATCTCGAACAGTCGAATTCTGGAAATGAGCAACAAGGATACAAGGCTAAAGAGCTGCGTCCCGACTGCCAGGCGCAACAAGCCCTCTGCGAGAGCTATGATGCTTATGAAACCATTAACTTCGTCAAGTTAATTGCCCAGACCTTTGATTAAATGATATATCGGAATAAATGCTTTTAATTTTATTTGTGACATCAATATCGGGTTGATAACAAAAAGGTGGAGTAGAATGGTAAGGACCGGGTTTCAAGGTTATGAACTTTCGAGATAACGAACTTTCGAGATAATTAACTTTCGAGATATTTAACTTTCGAGATAACGAACTTTCGAGATAATTAACTTTCGAGATAATGAACTTTCGAGATGTTTATTTTTGAGATGTTGATTTTCGAGATGTTGATTTTCGAGATAATGATAGGTAATCCACTCACCTATGACATAAAGCTCAAAAAGCTGCTCCAAATGCTTGACCAGAGAGAGTGAAGTCCGCTTCGCCTTTACCATCGAATCTTCAGCGTCTTTTTTTCTACCATATCCAGGTCGCAAAGTAATTTGAGGGATTCCGGGTAATACTTGGACCAGGGCTTTATTAAATCTAAATTTTTTTAAAGCCAGCTTTGGCTGAATTTTTACTTACCGATTACAAAGTCGCTTATTACTTTTACTAAAGCCAAAGGCAACATAGCTAACAATCCCTGTAGTGTCCCGGATTACGGTAAGCTCCTAAAATACTGCCACCCAAGTTTTTAAAATCATTTACTTGTTCCTTATTCCAAGAACTAACAGCATTGGGAAGAAATTCAATGTCATAGGTCGAGTAAGAAAACACCGCCTTTTCTAGAAAAAACTTGAAGTAGCGAGATTTTTAAGCCAACTTCATCTCCATAATCAGCCCCTTTTCGTCCATGTGCGTCACGATGCGACTGGTATTCCTAAAAATGTACTTTCTCAAACCTGGGTGTTAATTACTGTATTTTCTTCAACCTCCGGACGTTCTTTCGATTTGAGCCCTCCAGCGGGACATCCATATAGTAGGTTAGATACTTTTTGTGGTGCTCGAGGAGGTCTAAAAATGGAGCTGTCAGCGGGGAGATTTTTAGCAGGAATGAAAATTAATTCAGTTTTTTTCCCACTGTACCTAGCTGTTTGATAATATATAATGTATGCTATGCAAAATATTAAAAAATAAAAATTCAATTTTGACGTTTTGCCTCTCGCCCGCTGGCAGTCCAGTACCAAGGATAAAACCTAAGATCTGCGATAGCTGCCCAATTTTTTACTCCCACCGACGTGAACGTAGATCCCCATTTTCTTTTCGCTTTTCAGAAACGCTCCAACTGCAGCGGAGAGCCCCTCGGGGAGAGCACGAATGAGGTCCGAGGGAAGCCGGACCACGCCCGTTCAAGTAAAAAGGTTCACTTTTTACTTGAACGGGCGTGGCCAGCCCTCGGACCTCGTCTTCCCCGAGGGGAGGCTAACATCCACCCTTGGGTGGGGAGGTTTCTGGGTCTACGCCAGCCGCACACTCGCGTACCCGAGCCGAAGCGAAAGGGAGCGCGTGCGGGTCGCTCCACCTTTCGGTTCAGCTGGGTTAGAAAACCAGCACTGCGTTTGGGTGAAACGAGATAGGCGCTGCGGCAGAGTCAGAAGCGTATATCTAGCCGGGCAACCACACAGAGCACGAGCACCCTCTTTCTCTGGGTCTCGATGCTCGAGCGCCAATGCAACATCGCAACATTCTACACCCTCTGACCCTCGCTGCTCCCTCGGCTCGCCATTCCCCAGCAGAAAACCCCCCACTCGTCTCCTCCCTTCGCCTACGACCATACCACGTTGAAAGCACGGCATCCCGTCCGATCTGCCAAGTTAAGCAACGTTGGGCTCGGTTAGTACTTGGATCGGAGACGGCTTGGGAATCCCGAGTGTCGTAGGCTTTTTGCACTTTCAAGATAAATTTGAATACGAAATTTGTTTTTGGCGGTCTTATTGACGGAGAAGCAACAATTTTGCCTTTGAGCAACTTTTCGTGCGGTAATTCCGAGTTTCCGGGATAGAGGACTCCAGAGCGGTTCTGGGACTGCTTTCTTGCGACGCGACAACCCTACGAGCTTCCGCAGTCGCCGCAGAGCTTTTTAGGACTGCAGAACGATCGCAGACTCCAGGAAAACTACGCGGACAAGAGTGAAAATCGTCTTTTTGCCAAACACAACCTCATACAAAATGACTATGTGGTATACGCTGGACGACAGCAATGAAGCATCGAATAGAATGGATCAGTGGTTGACAATAGCTCGATCCCTGTTCATTCCAAGAGATTTGTGCGCTCTCGTGAGAGAACGCGTTCCAAAATTTGTTCGAAACACTCGTTTTATGGAGGTCTCGGGGTTAATGCTAACCTCAAACTTGGGTAATTAAACCGAAGCTGTGGATGGGTCAGTGGAGATATCAACTAGAGAACGAGACGAAAGACAACTATTGACGGGCAACCACACAACGAACGATCACCCTCTTTCTCTAACACTCTCTTCAGAAGGGACGGGGTATTGCCTTCCTCGTGTTGTCTGCTCCCTCTCTCCTTCCCTGGTACCCCAGCAGAAAAACCCCCACTCGCCTCCACCCTTCGCCTACGACCATACCACGTTGAAAGCACGGCATCCCGTCCGATCTGCCAAGTTAAGCAACGTTGGGCTCGGTTAGTACTTGGATCGGAGACGGCTTGGGAATCCCGAGTGTCGTAGGCTTTTTGCATTTTTGGGACCTTCCGGAATCGGGAGGGAATCCTTTTGCGCAGACTACAATTTTTTAGCCGTCAAGAGATGGTTTTTTCGGCGGTAAAGACCTAGGGAGTTTTCCTTTGATAATCCGCGGTTTTAGTAATTGAGGAACCAACCTAGCAACTGATCCTGATGCCGAAAAGGCACTGCTGCGACACTGGGAGCCGTCAGCTTCGAATTCATCGACGATTGATAATAAATGTACATTACCATGGTGAGCAGTATCATCGTACCGTCGAGGATAACGCCTCAAAGATAATTTTTGGCAACTTCTTCTGCTTCTTCACTTAATTTTTTTAGCTTACCTGAATACAATTCAATGATCAATGGAGTTTTCTGACGCACCACCATCGCATAAACTTCCTAAAAAGTCAGAAAATGTAAGGAAAAGTTCAACATTTATATACCAAAAGGCTTCTCGTCCCAATTGATGTTTTCGGGCCCTCATGGTGAAGGAAAAAGACGTTCACCAAAAATCGAAACGACGCTACCTAAAAAAACGTAGTCTACCGGAATTACGATTTTTTCGAGGCTAAAAATACATCCAGGTTGGCAGTCGTCTGATCGAAAAACACCTGATCGAAAATCGCCTGATCGAAAATCGCCTGATCGAAAAATCGCCTGATCGAAAATCGCCTGATCGAAAATCGTCTGATCGAAAAGTCGCCTGATCGAAAAGTCGCCTGATCGAAAATCGTCTGATCGAAAATTATCGGGGCTGAAGGACCAAATCAGGTGAAATAAAATTATTCTTGCCCCAGCACCTGGAATTAATTTGTCATACCATGCTTCGTGGTTAGGCTTAGACTTAGGCTTAGGCTTAGGCACCAACAACGCACTCAACCAACACTTTGGCTGCAAGCACCCGTCCATGTGGAAATTCCTCAACTACCTACAGAAGTTCGAGCTCGAAACCCTGGTCAAACTGAGACAGCTCCGAGAATACGCGCATGCCCCGAAGAAACGCGGACGCTCGACGAGGAGCAGAAAATATGCTAGAACTTTGATAAGGATTTGCTACAGCAATTTTCGATTAGGCGATTTTTCAATCAGGGGCTTTTCGATCAGGCGATTTTCGATCAGGCGACTTTTCGATCAGACGATTTTCGATCAGGCGACTTTTCGATCAGGCGATTTTTCGATCAGGCGATTTTCGATCAGGAGATTTTCGATCAGGCGATTTTCGATCAGGAAATTTTCGATCAGGCGATTTTTCGATCAGGTGACTGGGAATCATACATCCATTCATCCGTTCTACCCAAACTACACCCACCAAAATTATCGCGCCCAGCAGCAGCAGCCAAATTTCTAGCGAAAACGTCGAAAAAATGAAATTGCGAAAATCGGATTCGGGCGGCCGGCTGATGATGTAGACTTGCTAAACGGTCGTGTTATTTATTACTTTGGTATGACTGATGCCTGAAAATAGCGAATGGGGAATGTGAAGTGGGCCACTTTCATCCGTTCCGGCGTGATTCTAATTGACAGGCCGCTCATGTCAATCTTGTCCTCGGCGAGTAGACCCATAATTCCAGAGAAGTTGCCGTCATCCATGAGATTGCCAAAATCGTTGACGACGTTAAAGGACTTGTCGGTGTCCACCTTTAACGCGTACAACTTTAGATTATGCTAATCGAATTCAAATTTAGCATTTCGAGCAGGGTTTCCAAAGAGTATAGGGAGCTCGATCTCGGCTCAACCAGCTCGGATCAAAATTATTTTGCTACCAAGCGAAAGTCCGGAAACGAATTGTTTTATCAGTAAAAATTTCAATTTTTATTAAAGAATTTTCATATCCTAGGCATTTTTATCACGCCTAAGTTGACTAAGAAAATACAGTAGCGATGGTAGCTTTGGAAATATAAAAAAATTGTGCAAAAGCATCTTTTTTTGCAATTTTGAGAAAGCACCCTTTCTTTTATCATGTTTTGAGATTTCGGAATCTATTAAATTTTAAGAACTTTTGGGTTGCGTAAAAGCGTTGAATCTCGACAATTTTGCACCCACCACCTCCCAATCCCAGTTCAGCAACTTCATCACCATTTCCACAATCTCCATCTCACCGCCGGGGCGGGTACATGTTTTATGGGGAAGATTTCGGAAGCACTTGAACGCATCGGGGTCGTGCTCAAAGACTCCGACACGGACAGGGCGACCTAGTGGGGAGGGCATCTGAAATTTAGAATTCAATTTAATCGTACGATATGAGGTTGATTCAACAATTAACGATAATTAAGATATTTTTAACGAAATTGACGCTTTTCAAAATGATTATAAAGGATAAATTCTTTTTTTATTTATGAAAAGCACAATTACATTTTTTTCAAAGAGTATTTGTAATTATGAACATCAGTTAAATAAGTTAGTAATGACTAAAAACTGCGATAGACTCCTTTTTCTTCTCCGCCTTCCAGTTGCCATCTCAAGGACCTTCACCTCGCTCCTCGAATTTCAGAGTCAAGCCGTTTTTGGGTACTATGCTTTTGCTGTGTCCCAGAAGCAGAAAATATACTAATCCACTTTCTCAAAAACCATTATCCCCATGGCATAAACGGGAAGTGAAGAGTGCAAGCTGCCAAAGTGCGACAACCAGCATTGATGATTGTTCCCTTTCTATGCCATCAACCACAAGAGGTCCGGCGCAAAACAATAATCAGACACACTGGCTGGCAGATAGGGTCAAATAGACAATAGACAGACAGACAGACAGACAGACATGTTAATGAGAAAAACAACTTGGGAATTGAGGGTACGGTAGGAGGGATTGTCTAAATCAAAGTAACATTGATTTCCAGACGGTTGATTTCTTTTTTCCATATTAGGCAAGGATTTTAGGCTTTTGGTCACCCGTTTTTAGGTGTTTGTAGAGTTTTGCGACGTGATATAGCTCGTTTGAGAAAGCTTGAAATTTTAAAGCAAATCCAGATTTTTAAAACAACTAAATAATAACAGTTTTCGAGAAAATTAGCTCGAAAAGAACGGATTTTGCACATTTTTCGGCTTCGCATAATAAAATACAGACTGTGAAAAACCTTGTTTTTGGAGAATCCTTAAAGTTTGAAAATTTTTGAAAAATCGGATCTTTTCAGAATTTAAAGTTCTATTAAATGCGCCAAGTCATATGGCAAATTGACAGAGCGTCAAAAACTTTATGTATCGATTAAAAAGCTCTGATTCATCAAAAATTTCCCATTACTTTTTAAAATCCACTTAGTTTTTGCTAAAAAATATTTAGGGAAGCTTCTTAGGCCTTCAAGTCCTAGCAAAAAACCACAGACGATGACACTTTGTACTTTGGATTTTGGGCCCTTCCGGGCCAGCTGACCCGGTGTCCGGTTTCCAAAAACGTCGCTTACAAGACTTATCGTTACGTCCAAGCGTTCCTCAATTTGTTTTTTTTTTGCTTGGGATGGTCAGGGTATTTTTCCCGTCGGCTTTCCGAGAATCCCACCCGCCAATTTTGGAAAAGTCACGGATGCCCAGTTTAGCTGGCTGGAACGGTGATCTACCGCCAATTATTGGTGAGACTTCCGGGAGTTTTGTAGGCGTGAGAATTCCCTGGTGGATCCCCAATTTTGGATTTTTTGCTGGGTGACGAGTCGAAAAATTCAAAGTTCGAGAGCGTACTGTGCTTTGGGTCGTCGTCGTCACGTTTTTACTGCGTAAAAAAGCATGGAATCTTAGAAAAATTGAAATCGCTGATTTTTGGCGACAAGCGATTAATCAGAAATTCACCACTTGTATTTCAGTTGGTAATAGAAGTTAGTATCGGATGATCTGCTATCATAATGTCGAAAATCATGATGTCGAGCTTAATAACGCCCAAATTTCATAATCTCGGAACTCGAAGCGTCGAAATTCATAACGTAGAAATTTTTGCATGAAATTTCTGGAAGATTTGCTGATGTAAACTTCGACACTATGTTCATTATTGCTTTTTGCCCAAATCTTTCTTTGAATTGGTCTATCGATATTATTAGCCTACCCCACGAGTTCCGGCTTCAAAAATGACCATAACGATGACCATGTGAAAGTGAGTAACCCGGGCTAATTGGATAACTGACCCTAAGTATTTTCCTGGTTCTCAAATATCCCGCTATGCCGGGCACGGAGCCCCAGTCATTTGCTGGATAGCCGCCTGATTACGCTGTTTTGAACGGGATTCCGCTTTCGGCCAATGTGACGCTCATCTGTGCATTCAGATCCAGCCTTATTTACCGGTGCGAGAATTTTCAGATTTCCCTTCATTAATAGCGCTTATTAATAACTTATGCGGTCATCTCTTGGATCTCCGGCATAAATAATTCAAACAAAATTCATTCAGAAAATTATACTAAAGATGATTTTGCCTTCTTCTGGAAAATCGGTCTTTCTTGTATATCCTGGCTATAAAAAAAAACAAATTTTCTGCAGCTTTCGAGCAATATAAGAAATTGGATCAAAAGAGCGAGTTTTGAACTGTTATTCATCCGTGTAGTTTTATATTTTTTAGGTATTAATAGGTTTAATCTGGATAATCGTAAATTTTAAGCCAACTCAAATTTCGCGTTCAATGAATTTTCAGATATCTTGATTTGTGGTATAATTTGGACGCAAAAAAAATTAAATTTAGTCGTTTTCAGCTATTTAAATTCAAGTCGGGAAACAAAAGTTTGCGGAATTCTCTGCTTATTTATTGGATTTTACTGATTTTTGCAGAAAGATGAAATTTCTTAGGTTTTTAAACTGTGTGAAGCTTGTATTTTGGAGAATGAATCCCGCAACTTTATCCATAGCGGTAGTATCAAGTTTTTTCGGAATTTGGCGTATAAATGCACGTTCAAGCGTAAAATCGGAAAATCACGTAATAAAATGCGAAACAAATCTCCTCAAGCTCGGTGTTCTCCAAACAACGGCCCCCTTTGTTTCTACTTTCTAAAGAATCAAGCCTCAGTTTTTTCATTTGACTCTCAGCCAAATCCGCCTGATCTCTGAGATGTTGCTCCAAGCTTTTCCCGTGGTGTGATACCCGAGATCAAAGGCTTATTCTTACCTGCCAGCTTCGACCAATTTCCTGCTAATCCTATCGTTGCGAACCCGCCGGAAATTGACTTATTTCTAGTTTGGACTCGGAATTTTAGCAGGGGCCGAGGAAAATGGGGTGTTTTTGGGTGGCCCGTGTTTTTGGAGCGACTTCAGGTATTCAGAAGTGGATATTCAGCGTCCAAAAAAATATTTTGCGTCAAGACTCTGTTAATGTATAAATTCAACTTCATACCGCTTTAATTTTCCTTATCATATTCTACGCCTTGATTTTCTTTATTTTATTCTTTATCCTTTTCCATTTTTTCTTTAAGCTTTTCCAATTTTAACCTTTGAAGTATAAATTTGTTAAATTAGTGTATTGATAATGCTAATTTAGAAGGCATAAAATTCGAACTCAAGTACCGATCTTCGGATTACCGCCACCTATACTTTTTGTTTCTCATGCCCCTCCTGCAAAACTCAAATTTCCGGTCGAATTTTAGGGTTACCTAGCAGACCGGATGGATTGCTGGAGACTCCATTTTTCGGCTCCGTTCGGCGCGTAAATAGTCTTGGCATGGCCCGTTGGTCATGCAAGATTCCGTGCTGCTTTCCTCGCCGCTGCCATCGCCTAACATGCGACTTTATAATGAGCTCTCGCTTACGGGGGTGAATTCCACGAATTCCTCAAGTATTCGTCGATCCGTCATGTAGCCGTACTTTTTAAACAGTTTTGTCAATTCGCCAGTCTGTTTAGCGAACTTGAGACGGTAATGGTAATTCGAAATCGCGCTTTTTCTATGAGATATATCATATTTACTATTCGTGACGCGTTGGCTGCCGCGTTGCGTGTGGCCTGGTCTCGCGCGTTACTGGTCGCGTTGCGTGTCGCGTTGCATGTAGGACTGCGTGTATCGCTGCTCGTCGCGTATCGCGTTGCGTGTCGCGGGCCACTAAGTCCTAACACCTCCAAAAGCAATCGAAAACTCACTATGCTCTCAATTCCGCCCTTTTGAGGGCCTTTAGTATTCACATCAAGGGCTTGGTATCATTACATTAATTTGAATACACAAGAAAAATTGTTTTGTTGCTATTTTTGGCTCTAAAAACCAGAGAGGATTTTGGGAAAATTCCAAAACTGCTGAATCTTTGCTGGATTCTCGCCAATTTCCGATCTCTGAGCTAGCGACCGCTTTTTCTCTCAACACCTCTCTAAAAACACCCCCATTAATATCATAGTCATCTTTCCCCTCTGCCATTTGTCATTCTCTCTCTTCTTCCCCTGTGATAAATGAGATCCACGTCGTTCAGGCGAGCTGGAGGAGGCAGCTCAAGAGGATGGGCCAGCGATGCTCCTCCGACTTTTTGTGTTGTCACGACGGCCGGGTGCTGAGGAGACGGAAAGAGCTGATTGTAATAGAACCGGATCGGAAGGTAATTTCGGCATCAAATCTGAATAGTTTCCAAAAATCCTCGTAATTCTAATAATTTTACTTTCTTTCTAAAATCAAGTATTTTACCAGATAAAGTATTCTAGTTTAATGCGCATTTTTTGATCTCCCATCTTTGCTCAATCACCTCCGCAAACAACTCAGAGATCCGCGTCGGGCGAACGATTTGGAGATGCAAATCCGTGACTCCACCAGCGTGAATCAGATTATTTGCCTATCCCTTTTTTGTGGTTTTGATCTTTTCAATGGCTGCCCACGAGAGTTATTCAAATCCCGAAAAAGGCGCTTATCGCTTTTACGATGCCTGAAAGCGGGTGGCGGGAGTGCTAGTGATCGCCATAGTTCCCAGCCAAGTCTTCTGGGCCCGGACTGAAAATTGGAATTTTCACGTTTTGCATGGTTTTTGCTTAATCGCATTCAATGTTAAAGCACCAGATTTAAACTTTTGGCGGATTTGAACCAGTACTTTCGGAAAAACGATATCTGCTGTGATTTTAACTTTAACTCAGAGATCGGTTTTTGCCGCTTGCGTTTTGAATTTTCAAATAAATTTACGGAATCGATTGCAGGGTTTTTTCTGCGATGGACGTTCAAATGATTATATGATTTTTCATTCCATTAAAATTGGATTTTTGGTTCAAAAACCGGATAGCCGTATTTGTTAGGAAAATTAAAAAAGTGGATTGGGAGATGCGATGAGCAGCGGGTCTGCATTTT